GAACACAGTTGATATTTAGTTTGAAATTAAAAACACTTGGTAATAATAATTATTCAACCTTTTACAATTCAGAGCAGCCACAAAGATAAATACAAAAAATACATTTATTATAAATTATTTTATAATTTTCCTGTTTCACTAATAACATCTCGTTATACATAAAAACATTGCAGAGCTCATATATACAGATAAAATATATTTAATAAATTTATGAACAATATATTGTATTTCATATGAGTTAACTATTAATCTTTTTTAAATGCAATGTCTTTCCAATCATAGTTATCTACAACCTCCTTTTCTTTATTATTTAAAAATGCCATGATACCTTATTAAAGAGTTGAATGGCTTTCATTTCTTTCTCCATAGTTTTGAATTCAGTCCTTCTCTTAGACTGGCTGCCAATCAAGGCTAGAGAGCCCAATCTACTCTGTTATTCATCCCTTAGCCGAGGGAGAACAAAATAAATGAATTCATACCTTTCCTAAGGGTATTAAATGTATATGTTATAAACTCATGTAAATGTATCTTATTGCATGAATTATATTGTTGATGGGATGACGTAAACCAGAGAAAAGAAAAAAATTGTTCCTCAGATAAGGTTTCATTCTCTCGTTTTTGGCCTAAAACAATTTGCAACTATTTTTGTGTGCTCCGCATTTCAAAAGGTTGATGCAAAGAACTCTGGGAATATTTGCTAATGTGTAAAATATATAAAAATGGAGGCAATTAACAAAAAAGTGATTACAAAACTGACAATTATAAGAAATATCAGATGTGCAAATCAAGATACCAGAAACAGATTATATATATATATATATATATATATATATATATATATATATATAATACACAATACATATGTCACATAAATGATTATATGACATTTTGTTTGTACAAATTATACAAATTACATGGTTTTATGGACACAAAACCACACAATGTATACCATAATATATTACATAGCGAAGTATATCATATGCAATATAAAATAGTATATGACAAAGACATATTACATGTAATATATCATGGTAAATGACAAGGACATTATTACATGTAATATATGATAATATATGACAAGGACAATATTACATGTAATATATTATGGAATATGACAATGACAATATTACATATAATATATGATAGTATGTGACAAGGACAATGTAGTATCACAAAACAGATGAAAATAATTTATTATGCTATGATAGCATAATTCAGAGTTTATTATGTTAAATAAGATAATGAAAAAATATATAATTTTATTTATAATTTAGTTTTGATATATTGAAAAAATACTGCAGCTACTTTAATTATTTTTTGTGACAGTTTCTGCTATAAAAGTTGGAGCATGTACTGTGGAACATCTGCTGTGGCGATAGAGGTTTTGTTAACATGAACTGTCATTAAGAAATTATTGTGCCAAAGTTTTATGATCTTTATATAACTTTTTAAAATCAATATTTTCTTATATTTCAAGTATATTTGCTAACTACATTCATTCATAAAAAAAATCTAATGGGTCAATTTTATGTCTTCTGTTCTTAAAAAATAAATTGTAATGGATTTGTAGGATTAACATTTACAAATAAATATAAATGAAATGTTTCTAGTCCAAATATATATCTCAATATAAAACTGTTTGAATAAACAGGACAAAGCCAATTGGATGAAAGTAATTCTGAAAAAAAACTTCTTGCAGATAATCAGTTTTTGATTAACAAAGGTTTGGATTAGAATATTTTCTAATATATATTATGGGGTCTTTTCTAATGTTTTATGTTAATGACTTCGTATTAGAATTAAAACTTAAAAGCTTGTACCAAAATTATGTTGTATTTGAAATTCAATGAAACTTATACAACATGAACACTCAATAACTGGATTCCCAAAAAGGTCTACAGTTGGTACTCTTAAAATTTTTAAAGTTTCATATATAAGTTAACCCTTATTGGGTTAATGTTAAAATCAGGTTTTTTTAAAATTATATTTGAGTTTATAGACATCACTTGCTTCGGGAATGGGTAAATATTGCTTGTTAATATTTGAGTCGATAAATTTAATTAGTTTGGGGAAAGACAGATCTTGATCATTTATATTTGAGTTTATAAAAATTTACTTGATTTGGAGATAGATAAATATTAGTTGTTTATATTTGAGTCTATAAGCATTTAGTTGGTAGTTCAATCATCTTTTGTTGGTTAACCAAATATTGACCACTGTCAAGAATGAACATTTTTTTTTTTTTTTTAGAATTACTCTCTATCTGATGTTTAAATTGTCTGATAGAAGCTACATTACATTTAGACAGAATTCAAAAAAAAAAGTATCACTGTAAAAAGTCTAAGAGGACAAGAAAGAATGGAAATGTAATGAAAATAAACACAAAAACAGACAAATACATGTCTTCTATATGGAGAAAAATGTGTTTACATATATTCATGCTCGTTTTTTGTTTGGATATTACTTTTAAAACATGAACATAATGCATCAAATAACATAGTATATACAATATGACTTGTTTTTTTGTATAGACAAAATATGAAATATCATATTGTATACACCATACAATACACTGGGTTCTGTATTAATGACTTAGTTGGACAAACAAATAAATAATACATCAGCAGTAACAAAAATACATACACTAAGAGACGTGATAATTCCACATGCAAAATAAAGCATCCCACATATATATGCAGTGTTAAAATATTTCCCCTTATAGGTATAAATTATCTGAATTAAATGCACCAAAACACATGCAAGAAATGAATGAAATTCCTCAGTCATATCATATTATATATATATATATATATATATATATAAGATACCTACATATGTATGCAAACCCAAACTTATATATAGAAAAGCAACTTTTTCATACACGCATAAGCACAGGTTCACATATTCAAATACAAAGTCCATTATGCTAAAAAAAAAATTATGAACACTAAAGTTATGGGGTTTTTTCTAATCTTTTATGTTAGCGACTTCATATTAGGAATAAAACTTAAAAGCTTGTACCAAAATTATTTTGTGTTTCAGATTCAATGAAACTTATATAATCGGAACACTCAATAACTGAATTCCCAAAATGGTCTACAGTTGGTACTCACCAAATTTTTAAAGTTTCGTATATAAAATAATAAGAGAAACAGTTAAGGAATAAATATAAGAACATGAGACACATCTAAAATGATTAAAAATAAAAATCCTTTTTCATAATTTCCTTCAATCTAAGATTTATGTTGAATTTAGACTGAATTCAAGGGAAGCAACTTAAAATTGTTTTTGATAAACAGACACCAATAGAAGAATATGGGCAAAATGAGTTGCTTCCCTTTATTCTTACAACTCATCACAATTTTCGATTCAACAGTGCCATAGAAAAGAAGCTGTCATTTTCTATTTTTGCATTTTCAGGAATTTCTACGAATTTTTTAGATGTAGTACTGTTACTATTCAATATTCTATTTTGTTATTTTTGACTAATCTGAAATGTTTTTAGTACTTGAATTTTGCAAGAAAATTTAAAATAACACATGTAACCCAGATATGATTTTTCACTGAGTGCAATGAGATTTTTACAATATTTCCCTTTAAGACAGTAATTAGAATGAAAAGAAACTTACAGAAAAACTTATACTTTGAAGAAACAAGAAATTCAAAGAATCTGAGACATCTGTTCAAAGAGCAGTGTCTATAATTAACACAGAGTATGACAATAATGAAAAAAATTGTCAAGATCCTTATTTACATTATGTCATTTTTACAAGCATTGATTTGTTGACTAATCTAAATTTATATTTGAGCAGTTTTTTACACTTGGACTTGTTAGGATGTAGAATGCAATCATCTCCCTTTTAACAGAGAAAACTGACTGATGTCTTAAAGGGACGTTGATAGGCACGTGACAATCCTGTTGGTGAGGATAGTCAGTTGGTGCTTAGACTAAAATGAAAACAGATGTGGTAAGCAGCTGCAGTAGAGCTTCCATGGCCATGACACAATTTCTATGCATCTTAAGAACATAAGGGTTGTACTGTATCCCTCTTAAGAGATATTACAAGATTGTCTTTTTATTCATCTGTTTTCACTTACTACTTGCCTTTTTATATGTTATAATTTCTCCAAGTGGGATAATTGTTTACCCTTATATATATGTATATATATATATATATATATATATATATATGTCATGATGTATTTGGTAACCTATATGGATAATTCTGGAGTGGATATAATCCAGAGAGCTCAATGTAAATACAGAACAAATATTAATTATATTAAGAAACAGACAACTTTAAGGGTTCATGGTGATTATAATTTATTTCCTTAAAATCGAAATAAAAAACAGTTGTCTGTTTCTTAATTTATATATATATATATATATATATATATATATATTGCATCTTAGTGTGATTTATATTTGTATTAGTGTTGTAAATAGAATCCTTTCATTTTTTTACAATGCTGTTCATTCTGTACAATGCTCGAGAGCCACTCGAGGTAGAGAGTTACACAGTAAAAGGCACAATTTATGCAGATAGAACTCATTTAGGGAATTAATTTCTTTGAGTTATTCTAGTGCTTCCTAGTTCATGTGTTAGTATATCAGATTGTGTATTGTGTTAAGGTGTTAGTATATCAGAGATAAGCTAATGCTTATAGTGGTCATTGGAGAGTAGAGAAAAACAAAATATTTTTTCTTTCTTTCCAAGTACTCCATCAATGTCTAAAAATTGAATGATATGACATCATACTTAAAAGAAAGTATCTACATAATAAAATACAAATGCTTTCTGTACAGCTGCTAAAAATGAGGACAGATTATTGTTACTTTACTTTTTTTAGTTTATTTGGTAGCCAGATATTATAAATGTAATTGTATTCTAATGTGAAAAGAAACAATCTACAGCTTATCAAATGCTACACATGCACTATTACCTTTCCAATCATTAAAGCACACATGAAAACATACACCACATGAATATAGCAGTTAACTAAAATGAAATAAAAGAAACAGAGGGAAAGAAAGAAGAAAAAGAGCAAAACTCAAAAGATTTACAACACAAAATTAAAGAAAGAAGTAAAGAATGACTTTAGCATGATGAATAAAAGTTAAACCAGGAAAAGAATTTTGTTAATGTCATGAAATCGGAGAGAAATATATAATAAACAAATATAGAAGATGTTTAAAGTTTTTGATATGTGATAAGTCTTTCAAAAGACAGAAAAGAATACAGCATTATAAATCACATTGAAATATGATATTAACGATTGATCTTTTTAATGAGAGTTCATTTTTAAATAGTGAATGTATTGCGTATATACCAGTGTTGTTATCGCTTTCCCTTTTTGGAAAGATAACTCTGTCAGTAAGCTTTTTATATAAACAGTAGTTTTCACTTGGCAGAATGACATCATCATGGCTGCTGAAATCAGATCCACATTTCATCTTTTTCTTTCTTTATAAATAAAGTCCATCTATCCAAATACATATAGGATATTTTGGCAAAACAAACATGAAGGAAATAACTGACACTCATGAGTACCCAGAAATAAGACTTCGAAGGCAACAAAATAAGTGGATAACTGAACATTAATGAGAAACGAGTATTAAAAAAAAAAACAGATTTATTCCTGAAAATATTTAGGGAACTAAACTGATAAAATCTCAGGAATTGTTTCCAATATATTTAAGATTAAGAAATATTTAATGACGAAAACAGTGTTAATATTTCTTTTTTATTGTTTTAATGTTTCTTTGTCCTCTAGAAAAGAGGGTTGTTGTTACCAACTTTGGTTTGTTGGAATATATTTTTTGGATGTAACAACCAAAAATCTAATTTAAAATATTTACACAGAGAAAAAATAACAAAAAACAATTTGCTGACGACACAAATAACGACTGCATCAAAAACAAAGAAAACAATAAAGATGGAAAGTAATTATAAAAAGACATAAATAACAATTAAAACTCATTAGTGTAGTTCCAGTTGATTAGGACAAAGCATTAAAGAAAATAAAGTTCAAAGGTTAGCAAAGAGAAAATCAGAGACAAATAAACAAGTTGCTTCAAACTGTGGGATTTAAAAAAACAAAATGTAATTTGCACAACTGAAAGCATTTAAAGAAATATTTAAAGATCAATAAAAAAGAAAGAAAAAATAACTCTTGTTTTCTGTTGAAAAAAGGCTGAAAAGAACATTATATTAGGATATAGAATATTAGGATTAACATGAAAACAAATACATGATGTGTAGGTTCAACAAATCACTTTTGCTGCAGGATATATTGTTGCTTTTCTTTCCTGAATGTATGTATGTATGTCAGTGTGTGTGAGTGTCTCAAAGAAATTGTGAAGTGCCATTTGTACTGATCTTTGTTACTAGATTGTGATTGGTTAATTAATGCTGGGATGTGATTGGTCAATAATGCGTAGGACCGCTTTGTACTATGTGAAGGAGAAATAGTTTATGGGGCTGTTATACTTACGTTCTAAGAAAAAAAGCCAGAAAGCTGAACAAGTAGAATTCAAAGAATATAGAATCAGAAGGTGATTGGATGAATAAAGGAAGCGACATTAAAACTAAAATTTCTTGTTTACTTGTAAGTTAATATCAGTAAGATGATTTCAGGAGGTGTTGTTTGTGTTATACATTAAAAAATCTGAAATATTGACAGTATGTATATGGAATGACTTGAAGTTTTTGTAAGCTTATAATACAGGGGAAAGATTTTGCTTGGGGTTAATGATTGAAAAAAAGAAAAAATTGCACTTAGATAATAACAAAAACTTTATGTTGCCATAAATTTTAATGTTTATATTCAATATTTCTTGAATATTAAACATTTGGCTTGTCTATATGCAATAAATGAACATAATTAAAATAAATTCATATATATATATATATATATATCTTAAGACATTTTTTAAAGTTTATATGTTCTTTTTTATAGATACAAATATTTAAGTAAATGCTCTGTTTATAATAAACAGTATTAACAACATTTACCCGCCTGAATGTTCGAGAAATTTTCATAGAAAATATGCGTTCTCCAACATGAATTAAGACACGTCATCCTTTGACAGACTTTATGGAATTTCTTGAGAGTGCTGCTATTGAATCTTATCAAAATATAAATCTGAGCCCTTGATTTTTTTTTCAAATATCTCCATTCCTGAAAGAATTACTACTATCCCAAGCCAACAGGTATAACTATAAAAATGTTAAAAAAATTAAAAGAAAACGGTTAAATTCATAGCCTCGTGTTATTTAAAAAATATATATATAATACATAAATTTAACCCATACTTTACCTAGACTTTTCAATTTATCTGATAAATATTTAGGAGTGTCTTTTAAATTAAAAAATTGTGAAAAACTAACAACGTTTTTACTTTTTTTTATAAATACATGTTGCAAAATAAAATCCTCATGTTTGCCTTGATAAATCCAATCAGAAGATGAAACGTGTTGGCTAAGAAAATTTTTCTTTTTTGTTTTTATTGTCCTTTTACAGATATATTGTAGTAATATTTGAAATTATATATATATATATAGTTTGAACCAGTGGCTCCAAAAAGCTGTTTGCATGCAACAGTGACCACACCCTGGGGAATTGCTTCAACTGGTGGGCAAATCAAGTGAGAGTAGTCGATGGGTTTAAATTCTTGATAATTTTAGGTCTGTTAGCCCTGTTGCATGTGAAGATTGATTCTTGGCTGAGTGGGAAGATCAGATCTTCTATAGATCCAATGACCATGAAAGTGCTGTGGAGTATGTCAGAGCTTGGGTATGACACAAAGAAGTCCTGATCATCTATTGCAGCTTGGAAGTCTCCGGTTGTAATGATTCCTCATGCTACCAGATAAGATTCCCCAGGCTGAGAGAATGGGAATACTAAAGTGCAATAACTTTCCAGGTATAAATTCTTCCAGCACAAGTCTGTTTGAAAAGTTCATCTAGATTCACTGCTTCAGACCTGAGGGACACCCATGATTTATACATATATATATATGACACCAGAAGTGTTGAAACAAAATGGCTATTTTTGTAGTGATTTTATAACATATTTATAATTTTTGAATAAATAATTTATATATATATATATATATATAATGTAAATCTATTTAAACTCGGTGGGTGAAAAAACCTGGGTACCAAAATTTTCAAATAAATTGGCATCCGAGGAAAAATGGAAAAAAAAAGAAAGCACCAGAAATCGCCAAAAAATGTGAAAGAAATCATCCAGTATCTTAAATCTCTAGTATGAAGAAAAAAAAACTCAGCGAGTAATAAGTTAAAATGAAGAGTGCTCAATATACTAAGTAGAGCAAAAGTAAAATAAATAAATCCTAATGAACCATGTACTACCTAGTTCGGTTTCACCACACGGGATCATTAGGGTGAATTGGCTAAGGAAGAATTAATGAGGAACAAAGGTTTTAGCTTTAATTTTATCAATAAATTTGTTCCTTGTTAATTTCTCCTTAGCCAGTTCAACCTGATGATCCCATGTGGTGAAACTTAGGTAGGTACCTGGTTCATTAGGATCTTTTATTATATATATATATATATATATATATATATATATATATATATATATGTGTGTGTGTGTGTGGTTTAAGAATGACAATTGGAAAAAATTCTAAATTCTTGTTGACACGTTTTGTCTTCCAACTTTATCAAGGCAAGAAATGAAAGTGAAATGTTTTATCATAGTTACATCAAATCAAAAAATTACTAACATTATTTATGTTTAATTTTGCTTTGATTTGATATTTTGTTTGTTTTGGGGGTTCCCCCCTCCCCTTTCATGATCATCCCTCTGATTTGTATATATATATTGTAAATAATATTTATCATCTCATCGGGATGCTTTTTTTTATTTGGTTTACAGTAGTCAAACTGAGTGGTTGCTTTTTTAATTTGGGCCAAGGGACCTGGGCTGAGGCTAAATCTGCCTCTCTTCTTGAAGAGCAGACAAGACCATCTTGCTCTTTCTTTTGGGAATATATCTTCTGCAGATATAGAAAGAAACTCAATTTGGGAAAACCCAAGACTTGCTATTTCCAGTTCATGTATTTTCTCCTTGCCTGGGACATAGTAGATGAATCCAGCCTGTTCAAACCTGGTTTCCTAAATATGGCATCTCTGGAAACACAGAAGAATCTCCATATTATATGTAAGATCCTATCTTTTTGTTCTCCTTACACTCGCCATGTAATAATAATATTATAATTATAAGTGATATATTATTCTCTGTGTGGGACATGTATAAATATGTATATATAGTTTTATGCATGTTTTAATGGTATAAAACTCACTCTGAGAACAAAGCATGTCTGTCATTCCTTTTCCTTTCAGTCTTTCTGTTCTGTCTGTGATTTATGGTATTATTATATCATGAGCATAATAATGCCCATAATGGGGGAAATAAAAATGGGAGAATAAATCTTTCTTCTATATATCTCTCCAATTGTATCATCATTATCATCAGCAAACTAGACTTTTACAAGTATTCTGTTTATAAAGAAGGATTTTAATGAAGTGATTTTCACGTGTTGTAAAAATGTGCAGGTGAAATAGGTATTATTGTAGATGAAAGGATGAACAACTGAGTGTTGTGTTGTTGTTTTGAATTGGATTTTCTGTTGTTTTTATTGATTTATAATGGTTATTAAGCAGCATATATAAAAGAAAATTGAATAACATTTAAGTGAAAAAAAAGATGAGGTGTTATTACAACAAATTGAAGAATGGTGGCAGAGAGTTAGTTTGAAGGTGAAGTTAATGGTAGATCATACAAGATTAGAATAAAAATACATTTAAAAAAAAAAGAAACAGAAAAAGAACAAGAGAGAAGAAATTCATATATCACATTAAAAACATTATTAATCATAGAAACAATATCTTTCATTTCTGAAGTTAGTAACTTTTGGTTCATTGGGTGCATCTCCATACATACCTTCAGGGACTATAATTTCCTCTGACTCTTGGGGCTGACTGTAGGAGAGCAGGCTGAATGAAAACACACGGAATTTATATGTTCCTGGTCTGAGATCCCGCATCACAAACCATGTCTTGGGCGTGAGCACCACATCTTCTAGTCGCCGCCATATCGTACTATTGCAGTACTCTATTACATAGTAGAAGATAGAGATGTTGGATTTCTCAGGAGCAGACCATGTGATGTTAACAGCACCATGTAAGAGTTTCACAGTCACATTAACTGGGGGTTTGGGACGAGGCCCTGAAAAAAGAAAGATGTAAAATAAAATTCAGACATGACAAAAAGAAACAAATTTTTTTTTAATTGGTTTCACCCCAAGCAAGGTACTAAAGCCACTAAGACACAAGGTTTACTGAGTGTGAAAGAATTAGGAACAGAAACATTAATAATGAGTGGGAAGAGAAAAGAATAATCGAGAGAACAGTTGATAGCGATTGACATTGTTGCAGATTAAAGCTGGCTGGAAAGCATGGAGCTGGAAAGGGGTTCTACAAGAAATTAAAAAAATCTTTTTTTTTTATTTAATCATTTCACTCCAAGCAAGGCAATAAAGCTACTAAGATGCAAGGGGTTACTGAGAGAATAAGAGAAAAATATAACATTATTAAGGAGAGAGAACAATAAAAGAAGAGGAACTAAGAAGACAGAAAATAACAATTGACATTATAATTTAATTTTTGAAGATCAAAATTTACTGGGAAGCAAGAAGGCAAGGAGAATTCTAATTGAGAAGTATGAGTGAAGAATCTGTCAGCATAGAATTTATGGTTACATCTAGCCATTTCAACTTTAAAAGGAAGAGACCCAGCCACCAATGTTATAGCACACTTAAATTCATAAAGTTGAGGTAACAGAGTGAAAGCTCATCAGAACAATTATGAAAATATTTATAGAAAAAGTACAGAGAAGCTACATTGCAGCAGTGGGTAACTAACTGAAACCTAGTTGCCAGGTCAGGACCAATAATATTGCAGATTCTTCTTTGTATTGAAGTTAATCTGCATCTTAAAAGATTGTGTGGTACAATGGTTTAACAGGTTCATTTGTGAGATTCTATATTATTACAAGTTTGTAAATTTGGAGCAATACTGAAGAGTGCTGAAAAATCTATGGTACTGTGAAGTGACTTCCATGAATAAAAACAGGGAAGAATCCATCTTCATTTGAAACATATTTGCAAATGAGATATCAAGTTGAACCTGGAGGTGAAGTATGGCTATTAAACGAGAGTGGGGAGCCTGTGCACGGGGTAAAATGGTTAATGAGAATAATCTGGTTGGATATCATTACTGGGTAGTGAGCTTCATTGTTTGAGAAGATATTTCTGCTTATTTAACAGTCTAATTGACATTTACTGGCTTTGGTTTTCAAGTTTTCTTTAAATAAAGAAAATATCCTCTCCAACATGGTTTAAACCTGCATCCAACTTATATAAAAGAAACCACTGAATACCCCAATTCCACCATGAAGGACTTTCATAGCAAAGCATAGCTCAATTATCCTGATGAAGGAAAGTACATCTCTCGAAGCCCCTAGGTGTTAACTTTATTTTTATATCTGAAACATAAACAAAATAATTTCTAAGGAATTAATGGATTTTTATTTATTATCCGACATTATTTCTCATTACTCTAAGTGTTGTATTTCGAGGATACAGATGTTTGAATAGATGTCTCTGTTTATTAAACAGTCTAATTGATGTCCGCTGATCTGATTTTCCAAGTGTCTTTAATAAAGAGAATATTTCATCCAGCAGGAAAAAGTGGAGATATGTGTTTGTATAGACAAACAATTATTATATAATCATCTTGACTACAAAAATTTTGCCTTGTTTAATTTGTTTTCTGTGGCTTATCAACCCTTTGCATGTTATTTAAAGCTAGAAAATATTTGTAGATTGTAAGAATTTCTTTTTTAAGATAATAATGATTTATTGATACAAATGTTACTAATTAACCCATAGGTGCAGGGAGAAGAGGTGGGTTCAGATCTTTCCTAAAGGTATTTGCATGTAAGTGAATATGACAAACTGAACAGAAATTGGAACTCGAATCTCTGATTAACAATTCTGAGCCATTATCCATTACACTACCCAAATATCCAAGCTTTCAACACCTGGTATTTCCAAGTGGTCACCCATTTAGGTACTGACCAGGCTCAATGTTGCTTAACTATGGTGATCATACTGGAACTGGTGTTTCAATGTGATGTGGCTGTAAGCCTTCTACAAAGGCAAAATAATCTTAAATGTTCTTAAAAAAGTTGGAAATTGATTATAATTTTGTTAATTAGTTGAAATTAAATGAACTTCATTAAATTTGAGTAGTGGAATATTGGATTATTTAAAAATTTATCAAACAAAATATGAGATGCAGATATGCAAGGTAATACAAAAATTATTGTTGCCTCAAAGTTCCAGAAATAACATTTATATACTTTGAGGGCATACTAATTCATTCAGGAGTTAAATTCTATTTTTTTAATACTGCTGTTCATCCAATAAAAGACCCAAGAGCAACTCAAGGTAGAGGATTACCGAATGCAGTTGTCTTATGGACAAAAGGATTGCAGATTATGAGGATAAGTAGGATAGACAACAGTTGACACTGGACTTCAAGAGATAAGATTGTCGTGGTTAGGGAAGTATCTTTTCATGAGTTTGTTCCACAAAGCTGCAGATCTTGGAAAGAAGCTGTTTGAGTGGAACTTCCTTCTTACAAATGGAATACAAAGGGAATGAGGATGGTTCATTTTTGTTTACATGACGTAGTGGGTTTTTAGCTGTAAAGGTTTGAATTGGTAGAAGTAGGGAATGTCGAGCATCAGAACATTTTTTTATAATAATACCGATACAGTAGCAATAGGCTTTTGACACTTCATCTATAGAAGAAGAGTGATAGGGTGAAAAATAATTCATCAGCTACAAGTCAGCATAATTACATTTTGAATGCTGTCAATGACTGAAAGAAAGGATTGAACAGCTCCAGTCTCGATACTGAGAGGAAAATAAACATTTAAAAAAGTGAAGATTTGATTTTACATTTTTAGTGAAACCATTTTTTAGACAAATGACATTCACTGTTATGACTGGAGCCAGGAAATAATATTCCATTTTTGGTCTGATCTGAGTTTTGTAAAGATAGAACTTTAGATATATAATGAGAAAAAGTTCAGAGCAGAGCTGGTGGGTATTAGCCTCGAACCTTCCAACAAGGTGGATCTAATTGGGGTCAACAGGCAGTGTTTTGTGGCCCTTTCTATCTTATAAACATTTGCTTTTTTTCTACCTACATTTATATACATTACAAATTAAACTAAGTACAACTATTAAAGTAAATTTGCAGGTTTTTACACCATTCTGGGGCCTTTTTTTTGGTCCAAATCCATTTTGTTCATACTAAATCTTTAAAAATATCACTCTATAAAATTCACCATTTTTTATCCATAATGTTGACTGTATCAAGATTTTTCAACTTTTTAACAAGAAAAATTTCAAGTTGATGTTAAAAATTATTATAAAACATTGTTGATTTATTTAAGATGGAATGATCTATTATGATATGTCTCTAATTTGTATTTATATACATTGTTTTTTATTTTCAATTTGCATATGAGCCATCATTGTATATGACTAGGTTATGATAAAATTTGTATTTTATATGTATACTACCTTGAAATTTGAGATGTAGTAGAATAGATGCTTGGGGGGGGGTGCACGAGACCCTTGCACCAACCCTGCTGGTTAATATTATTCATATTTAAATATTCCACATGCTTTGTTGAACAATAAGAAAAGGACAGTAAACAGAAGAAAATAAATTCAATATCAGAATATAAAACAAAGAAAAAAAAAATTTGAATACTCTCAGTATCTGCTGAGATTTTACTGAGATAAATCCTGTTAAAAAAGACTATGACACCAACAGCTTTACTGTTATTGCCACAGTAGGTAAGGTAGAGTAATTTGTCTAACTGAACCCTCACCAAATTTTTTGCTGTCAACGGTGGCAGTGATGAGAAATATTGTCAATATACCTGATGATGGGATAGATAGAACACAAGGAAAAAATGGATTCATACCTTTTCTGAGGGTATTTGTATGAAGTGAATACAAATAACCTCAGTGATGATTTGAACCTGGTTTGCCAGTTCTATGCTAAAACTGTATGATTATTTGCAACTTAACAGAAGAGACAGTTGAAATTTCTAGGGAATGTACACATAAAGAAGGCTTGGAAAAGTTGATACTCACAGGACAAATTGAAGGCATGAGGGACAAAGGAAAACAATACATGACTTATCTAGCAAGATTGAGTAAATGCATGCCAGAACAAGGTGAGATAACAAAAAAAAAAAAAATTAAGAACTACAAAGGTCTGGAAATTGTGAAGAGCCATGATCGCCAACATCCTGAAGAGGCATGGCACATAGAATAAGAAGTTAGTGTAATGCTAATTAAGCAAATTATAAACTAAAAACATTAGATTTCTTCATTTATCAAGCAAATCTAAGCAGAACAGAGTATGCTGCTCTCTAGCCTTGGCTGGCAACCAGTCTAGGAGAAGAATGACACTGAATTCCGAATTGGCTGGTGTGCTAATAGTTCTTCCACCTTGGCTAGCAATCAATCTAGAGATGGTGACTTGATAAAAACACCCATCCCCACTTGGGCCACTGATAGGGATGTGTTAGCCCGTAAAATGCACAATCTGCTGCAAGCAGAAACAGCATCTACTTTTACTGCTTTATGGTACAATGACCATCTGTCTAATCTCAGAACATAAATAGGTTAAGGCTGCTTATATGAGCAAAGCTTATGTCCATATCACATTGAAACACTGTTTCCCGTATATCAAACAACATCAAGCCTGATCAGGACCTAGATGGCTGACCGCTCAGGAATAAGCTTGGACATGTAGATGGTGTATGGATAATGGCTCAAAATTGTTAATTGAAGAGCCGAGTTCCAAATCAAGTTGGGTTCATTATATTCACTTACGTGCAAATACCCTTGGGAAAGGTATGAATCCACCACTTCCCCCCATCTATGGGTTAATTAGTAAGACTTGTGTTACTAACCATTATTATTTCCAAAAATAAAATTGTGTACAAATTATTTAGATTTTGGCATGAAATAATCTGCAAATGGTTGATATGCCATTAACCAAAACAACTAATACTTCCTTTTTGTCAGACATGTTTTTAGTAAATTCAAACAGAAATAACTTGTATTAATGATCAATAAAAATTACCAGTATTCCAATTATTTATGACTAAGATCTACAGGAGAAAGGATTGCCTTACCAATTGGTCGTACCACAGGAGGTATATATGTAGCTCCATTAGGTTTAGTTGGGAGGCCTGTGGGTAAATCATCATGGTAGCCTGTTAAGAAACAAGAAAGAAAGAAGGGAAAAATTAGTGCTGACCATTAGCAAAGGTAAGTCATTGGTAATTAATCGGAACACAGTCTAAAGCTATAGTATGTATACTAATGTAAATGTACAAAGTCGATAGTGAATATAAATGCTGAAAAACAAATTGGATTAAGTTTAGGGGCTTGGAAACAGGAAAAGAAAAATAAACATAATAAAACAAACAAAATAAAAATAAAGGAAGGCTAGAAAAAAAAATAAGAACACAAAGGGTAAAAAAGGAAATAACATTCACTAACTGCTGAAAATTAAAATGGTAAGGGTTTTTAATATTAAAAAATTAAAAATATAAAACGAACAAGTACAAAAGTGAATGGGATTATAGGGAACAAGACTGAAAACTGAAAAATGCAAAAAAAACCCAAAAAAACAAGAGATTGAAAATGACCAAAAAAAAAAAAAAAATAATATAATAAATAAATAAACATTTGATCTACTGAAAACAAAACAAACATAAAACATTAAGTACTGAGAATGTAGACAAACGAGTATAAGAGATATTAAACACAAGACCTGAAAATATGGCAAGGGGTTACGTAAAATGAAAAGTCTTAACAAATACACTGAACCTAAAAAGAAAAATAGATGACAAAAAAAGGGGAGATAAACATATTTGGAAAGAAGAAACCATTTAACAGAATAGAGAAAAATGAACCTCTTTTATTTTTGAGGAAAAAAAATGACACTGTCACCAGATATGCCTATTATAATCCTGCAGTTGCTACATTGGCCTGGTTATTAATTCTTATAGAACAGAGAAATAAAAAGGTAAGTAGATTGAATAAATCTGATAGTTCACCTACTTACCGTGCAGAAATGAGAGGGAGGGGCAGAATGTGTGATGCCCATGGGCATCAATATCAGGAGCATGTCCAATCAGTTGCAATTGCGACATTGGCCTGGATATTAATTCTTATAGAACAGAGAAATAAAAAGGTAAGTAGATTGAATAAATCTGATGGTTCACCTACGGTCGTGGGCATCCATATTGGGAGGGTGTCCAATCAAAGAGTGAAATAAAAATTTAGTTTATATTTAACTTGAATAAAGTGTTTATTTCATGTTTCAACTGTTTTTACCTATTTAAGATGTCTTCCTTTCTCACATTTCTCAGTACTAGGCCCTATAGCCCCCCCCCCCTACTTGAGTCTTAGGGGGGCATACAATCAAGGAATTGGCCCAGATATCACTGAACATCACCAAACCTATTCACGTCATTGTTCACCTAATATTTCTATTTTTTTAAAATGACTAAGAAGAAGGATGTGCGAGTGGTGTAATGGTTAATGGCACAGAATGAGAAATCGGAGAGCTGAGTTCAAATTCCACTCGGATTTGTTCTATTCACTTATGCACAAATACCCTAGGGAAAGGTATGTATCCATCTCTTCTCCCCCCCACCCTCCCCCGCTATGGGTTGAATAGCAGGACAGACTGTGTCCTATAGCCTTGGTTGGCAACCAATCTACTACAGAAAGAAATGGAAGCCTACTGCGGAAAAATCTTCTTTCCTACTCAATCATGAATCAAAAGCGACATGATTGCCTGAGCATGTATCATGTATGGCACTCATCTGACTGACTGAAGAAGGCTCTAGGATTCCTCCATTTTCTTTTGTATGAATTGATTTGAAAAAAATTTTAACATTTAATATAAACTTTTAAAGCTGAACTTTGATAAGAAAAAACCAACAATGCAGAATGTTTCTGAAGAATACTTATGCAATTAAAGAGAGACTGGTGCTTGACACAGCAACATGTTAAGGATCCTGAAATTAGTTCTGGCACACACACACAGATTATATGATCATAAGATCTGTAGCAATAAGAGACCAACAGCATGTAAATGAGATGGATGGCCTGTTTCTCTGGTGTAGTGTGTTTCAAAAGTGGACTTTTGAAAATAATTGAAAATAATCTAATAGTAAGTTAAATGTAGAACATAGGAAAAGCTTTTTAAGTCAGTTTCCATGTGCGATACTCGCTTAGGTGATCATGACTGACAAGGCAGATTTTTTTTCCTGTCATTTCTTTCTGCGGTAGACCAGTTGCTATCTAAGGCTATAGAACCCGGTCTGTCTTGCTATTTACCTATATCTGGTGAGAGAAGAAGAGGATTCATACCTTTCCCAAGGTTATTAACACGTAAGTGAATGTAATAGTTTCGACTGGAATTCAAACTCGGCTCTCCGATTCCTTAATCCAAGTGACTATCGTTATTTATTAGGTTGGCCAGAAAGTCCTGACTCACTTAGGAAGTGTACGTTGTATCATCTGGACTTCCTCAAGTGCCTGTCAATCCAGATAACTTCCAGAGTATTTTGAACTGAATCCTTTGTTTAATCTACTGGGGTGGGGGAGAGATTTTTTTCATTCTGCTATCCATGTCTAGGGATATCTCATCTTGCTCTTTCTACTCAGTTATTGCTCAACCTGTACATGCTTAAACTCAATGGAAACTGATACTGAGCAATACAAAATAAGGACGAGATACACCAGATATGAACATATAAAAATCTACCCATCTCATCTCCAGTGAATAAATAAAGAGTTTGGTTTGAAATTCCCTTAAGGATATGCAGACTGACAGACACCAGAAGAAAACTGGAGAATAGAATGGTCAAAAGATTATAACAACAAAGATGAAGACATTAATTTGAATATAAATAATTAAATTTATACCTGTGAAAAATCTCAAATTTATTATCATGTTAAAAGCTAACCTGGTCAACTCAGCAATTATATATCTGATATCATATAAGCAATTATGTATCTTCAGAATTTGGTAAGTCCTGATATTCTTCTGAAATAGTCTTTTATTCTAAATAAATATACCTTTGTAAATTAACATATAGTCTGTTTTTCGAATGATTGTAATGTCAATTTGAGAAGGTCAGCTGATCTGCTTGCCATGGAATACAGCATCAGAAAATAGTCTTTGCTTGTATTTGTAAACAAACAACAAACACAAGAAGCTAATTTACTATTCATGTTATCAAAAATAAATGTTACTTTTATGGAACATTGTTTTCTCTATAATAGTCATCTAATGCCAAATTCTTTCTGTTGGAGATTAATTATTAAATATCTAAAGTTTAATAAATATCTCAAGTTAAAAATAGTTATAGGCATTCACAAAGTTTATTCTATTACAAAGGCATAATTATCAGATATGCAATCAACATAAAACTCATACTAAAACTGTAATGGTCTGCTAGACCTGTTTAGTACAGGGTGTTTGGAAAGTTAGTGTGAAATTTTCTAATATTTCACCCCAACTAAAACTGAAGAATGTGTATTGTTTATAATTTTCATTCATATTCTCCTCCTGTATTCAATATTGAAAAATTTCTTAATAAAAGTGTAAATGTATAAGGATTTTCAAACACTCTGTATAAACCCTCAGCTAAGTAACCATATATATATATATATATATATATATATATATATATATATATATATAATAATTGACTCTCCCGTCGAGATTGACGTATGAGGGTCAAGCAGATCAGTTTTCAGGAAACCGACAACCCAACACCGGCACATGAGATTTGATTATAGTGGTGAAGGCCTCATGCAGGACCATCCACACTTTTTGAAGGGACGAATACAGAGACCTGGTGCACTGAATGCCACAAGGTTCCCAAACGACCCTCCATGAGGTTTTGAATTCAGAGTTGTCCTTCTCCTAGACCAGTTGCCATCCAAGGCTATAGAACACAGTCTGTCCTGCTATTTTACCCATAGCTGGAGGGAGAGGAAGAGGAGTCATACCTTTCCCAAGGGTATTAGCACGTAAGTGAATGTAATGGATTCGACTGGAATTGAACTCGGCTCTCGATTCCTCAATCCAAGCCGCTATCCATTACTCCATCGTGCCTCCTATATATATATATATATATATATATATATATATATATATAGACAAGTTTACCTAAGTTATCAAAAATGGTGGCATTTTAAATACACTTTTCTAATTTTTATTTTTGCACACTGCTCTTTCATGGACTTTTTTCTTTTATTTTTGTTAAAATAATCTTCACTCTGTACAAGATCCAAGAACTATTTGAGTGTTACAGTGTAGAAGGTGCTGTTTATAAAGATATGTGAGGAAAATAACAGTTAACCTTAGACAGGTTAAGACTGTAGTGACTGGGGAAGCATTCTCTTGGGAGTTGGCTCCACAAAGCAGCTGTTGATGGGAAGCTGTTTGAGTGGAACTTACATCTCACCAATGGAATACAAAGGGAATGAGGCCTTAATTTATTTCACCTCCCCAGCTTTATAAACATGTTAGAATGTTTCACCAATGTTATAACAAGAACACTGCCACCTGGCACCACACCAATGCAAGGGAGAAAACTAATATAGTAAAAAGTTAGAGACATTAAAGAAAAGGAAAAATGTATTATAGTAAGATATTTCAACAAGGCAACCATTCTGAATTCCTGATATTGGAGAGGCTGAACACCGACTGTAGAGAAAATTATGAATGTTATTCTTACAAGCCATTGCTGATGAAATTAACCTTTACTGAGTACTGCTGAAATCTTGAAACAAAATGTGTTTCATCATAATATCATCATTTGAAAGGCAGACTGAATGGAGCTAAGTGATGAGCCCACTGGCAATTCACAGATAATAAAGAAACAGAATCTGTGGAGAAGGCAACAGGAAACCACTTCACTATCTTCCCCAAGAAGGCATGGCAATTTACAGATAATAAAGAAATGGTATCTCTAGAGAAAGTGACAGGAAACAACTCACTATCTTTTCCAAGGAGATATAGCAATTTACAGATAATAAAAAAAAGTTATCAGTAGAGAAGGCAACAGGAAACCACTTCACCATCTTTTTTCAAGAAGGCATGGCAATTTACAGATAATAAAGAAAAGGAATCTGTAGAGAAGGCAACAAGAAACTATTTCATTATCTTTTTTCAAGAAGGCATGGCAATTCTCAGGTAATGAAGAAACGGAATCTGTGGAGAAGGCAACAGGAAACCACTTCACTTTCATAAGAAAGCACAGCAATTCACAGATAATAAAAGAAAAGGAATCTGTGGAGAGTCATGATCACCTGGAGGGATATAGTATTTAAAAAAAGAGGCCTACTACAATTTACCCAAAATCCATATCTATCCATTTTAAACTTTAGTCAACAGCCACCTAGTCATAAGTTTATATCGTGTATCTCCTAAAAAATGTTCACAGTAAAACTGCTTTTAAAAAAAATATAATATTAGCTTTGTTTTTTCTGTTTAAATTTCTGGGACAAGGAGTTTATCATTATTTGCATTATTTACATTTGAACTAATATTCTCATCTTTGTTAGTATTATCACTGTGCCCTACAGTACAACAACCAAGTAACTGTGACTTTAGTCAGGGACAACAAACTCAGACTCACAGTGAGCAATAACTGAGCAGTATTAAAAAGAAAATGAGATGAGATATCCTTAGACATGGACAGTGGAACAAGAACAATCTATTCCCATAGATTAAATAAAGGGTTTAGTTCAAAATTAATTTATGGTTACAAGGATTGACAGATACCTGAAGAAGTTTGGTGGTCACAATGGTTGAATTGTTGCTGTAATAACAAAGGTGTGGATATTTGTTCAAATGTAAATCATGCATATAAACAGCTTTGCTTTCTTGCTTCCATCTACTAATGTTTTATAATAATTTACAACTTGAACTCTGTTATTCTTGAACAAAAACTCCAACATTGAGATGCATTTGCAAAATTAATCTCACCGGGCTTGTATTTTTTATTAGAAATAAAAACTAGTTGAAACAAATCATCTAAAAAAATGATGAAAATATTTAAGTAATTTTACAATTAATAGTGTATTATTTTTATCTCCACAATTAACTCAACTGTCATATGTAAAA